TGTGTGTGTGTGTGTGTGTGTGTGTGTGTTGGGGGGGTGTTCAGAAAATGTATTTACATGAATCTAAATAAATGTGTAAATCTTAGATATACAGATGTACTTAATGCTCACATGCATCTTTCTCCCCCCCCCCCCTTTTACATAGGACCCCTGTAGTATAAAAAGTTCTGCAGGTTGTTCTGATCTACAATGTGGATCATATTCAGATTAAACTTAAATGAAGCAAACTTTGGGACTGCCTCAAGAAATTTTGTTGCCTGAAGCAAAAGTCAAGATAGTGGACTTCCTCTTTTCCATGCATACAAGTTAGTTGGACTGGCAGTACAATCTTCATTCATCTTTAATGATAAAGATGTAACTGTAATGGAAATTAGGAATAACCTTGAGGAACAGGAGAAGGAGCCACAACCAAGGCAATGGTCAGATAAAAGAAATCTTAGTCTGTGGCCAAAATGTAATTTGAGTAAGCATCTCAGATGTGACCCTCCCTAGTTCTCATGAAGTTAAACGGAGGGAGGGGGGAAGCGCATTCAGATTTTCAAGATTCTGTTACTGTAACCTTATAATAAAGTAGTTAGCATTCATAACTCTGATGCCCTAGTCTGATCTACCTTGAGGTGTACCTGAGGGCAGCATGCTAGTGTAATGGAGCTCATTTTGCAGGACACTGGCAGATATTGATTGCCACTGCTCAGGTTCTTTCCACCTGTGCTACTTGAGAGCCTTTCTTCAGTGGCAGCACTGATCTTCTCACCTGTAGAAAAGTCCATTCAAGTGCACCATGATACAAAATCTTTTGTATCATGTCTACTTTTGCAAATAGTAGACATAGTTTTCACCACTGTTCCATACCTAATGCTCCAATGAGACACATAACGAAGAGCAGTCCCACACAGAAGAATATGTCCATGTTCATCTGTTGTTCTATCCTGCTGCGTTTATAACGAGGACCTCTGTTATTCAACATAGCTTTGGTTTCCTGGCCTTCCAGTTGCACACATGCATAAAGAGAAGAAAATTATCTTATGAATATAAAGAACTCAGGGATTACAGACAACCAAGCTTTAGATACCTCTAGACGTACAAACCCACAGTGGCTTTTCAATATTCATTTTCATGGTATTTTTGGGAATACATGTTTAAAGGATAGACATGCGAGAGAACATGATTTCCAATGATGTTGAGTGCCTTGCAATTTCAAAAATTTTGAAAATGATTGTATCTCATAGAGAGATCTATTAAGATCTTCTTTTAAGGAAGCTCTAAGAAGCAAAGTAAAAGCTCTAAAAACAGAATTCCTGCTCAGATTAAGACACAAATCCTGGAGAAAGGATAGAGGGTCTGCAGGTCTACTACAAAGGACATGCTTTGTATCAAAAGATTCTTGATTCAACCTATGGGCATGTAATTCTTGGGCACACCAAGGAAGAAACCTTAAGGAAAGTTAGGGATAGATAGATACAGAGAAGTGGTCGAAAGGATGATAGAAGAATGTTTTATATTTATTTATATTTCAAATTTAGACACTGCCCATCTCACGAGGAAGTGACTCTGGGCGGTTTACAATAAAAACAACAAATAAATATTAGTTAAAATACAATAAAAACAGTATAAAAATACAATAAAACAGTAATAAAATGTTCATGTTGTGCTGTGCATAGCTGAAGGCCGAAATAAAAATTACCGATGGCACAAAGAATAACAGGTTCATGGAAAAGATTACAGGTGGGTTGTACAGAAAGATCACCAAATCCACAGGAGTATACTCATCTCTTGATCCTTATAATTATATTTTCAGGATGGATTCAAGCGTTTCCTACTTAAAATAATGGGGCTGAGATTGGTGCAAACACTTCCTCAGCCCCCTATAGATGTAATTTGAACTGCATCCTTGGTGACAGACTACCAGTGGTAGATTGACACTGCAGGAAGCCAAGAAGGTGGCACCAATACATCCTGATTTCTGAAAACAGCACGGGTAGCTATCTTGGATTTACTGGAAGTAAATAATGGTAAGACTGGGAAAGTTTCTTATCTGCAGCTGAGAGGAACAGCTGCCTGTCAGTGCAGATAATTAGATGAAGCAGTGGTTTGATAGGGCTGATATGTTCTTATTGCTGTTCATCAACCTGGATTTTAAAAAGCTGGAAGGATTTATAAAAATGTCTTGAAAATAAGTACATGAAGAGTTTGGATTTTTACTTCAGGAAAAGAAAGGAGAAGGATCAGGATGGGACTTTATAAAATTATCAACAATGTGGAGAGAATGAGTAGAGAACTATTTTAAACTGGGCTTTTAAAAAGTTTACATTGCACATTATTTAATAATTAAATATTTAAAGGAGGTTAGATATTTACTTCTTTGGGGTCTCTTAATAAAACAGGTGGCTAAAATGAATGCATTATTTCCTTCTGCTGAATGTTATTTATTATTTTAACACATATATGCATTTATAAATGCCTTCTAAATCTCCTGACTAAATAATGTCTCTCTCAAATACAAGAAGCAAATGCCATCTAATAATTGCCACCAAGATTTGGTGATCGTCACCCTTACATAATTTTAAAAAAGACTGGACAGAGCTTAGCATCACATTCAGGTGCCTAGTTCCATCATGGAATCTCACACAAGGAGACAGGAGACAAGAAATAAAAACAATGCTTTTAAAAATGTCTCTCATTTCACAGGTCTACAATCTTTGGTGGTCTCCCTCCCAAGATCTTTCCCAAGCAGTACTGACATTCTTAAGTTCCATATGATTACTCTTCTTGCTGAAATGTGAGCTTATGCAAGAATGTAAAAAAGCCTGTGAGATTTTGGCACTTTTTTTTAATATATATATTTTATTTTAAAAAAAGTTTTGAGATTCTGCAGTTGCCATCTGGGAATGCTGCAAGCTTCTTGAGGCTTAAGATGCTATGCTGCCAAATTCTGGATTAGTCCACTATGTGTTGGACAGCAGTATTAATGGAAATTAACCATAAACATTCAACTGATTTTCCACATTCTGAAGCAATTTGGTTAATAGGAGTTGGCAATTGCTGCTCCATCATGTTCTGCTTGTGACTTTCTCAGCACCATCTGGTTGGCTACTGTGGAAATCAGAGCGATTAGTTTAAGGGATTTTTGATTTGAGCCACAGATCAATTCATAAATTCTCTCTCTGAACCTAATCCAGAGGCAACATACATTATAATCAGCCCAGATGATGTCCTGAAATAAGAATTCCCATGGAGCTCCCTGAAGTGTGCTAGTCAGAGAAATACATTTGATATCTATGTTAATTCATGGAATATTACAGGAATGAAAACAGAACTAGTGTTTCATGCATGATGTTTGCTGTGACTATTTGTTACACATTCTATTTTGTGAAAGCTCTTGTATATTGAGACCCTGTTACATGATGCACCTCACTTCCATAAAGACAGCAAAGTTTTGTTTCAGTGTCTTAAAAGAGTGTAAGCATGTTGAATGCTTCTAGATGCTATTTTCCCCTGCCTTTTGGGCTGCATGAACTTCTATCAATTGTACAATGCTTTCTGCAAACCAGCCCTGATGCAAATCTCTGAAACCTCTGTTCCCTGTCACATTTGGAAAGTTCATTTGCATTTTCTGTCCCTTGCTTCAGAGACATACAGGACTTGTTTTCCAGTGAATCATTCTGTGTTTGTTGGCATGTATTTTCCTTTTGGTTTCCATATCCCCAAACTTTCAGTTCCTAGCTCGCATTTTATCTAGACTAGGAAGTAGAAAAGCCCCCAAGTGCAATTTTGTTTGCATTTTGCTCTCACAGGATTTGTTGCCTTGCAGCAGTCAGGATTTGCTGGGATAACACACTTCACACATTATGTTAAAATTATGCCACTTTCACAAAATTTGCTCTACAATGCCAATTTAGTTCCATGTAAGAGGAGCTATTTGAAGCTTCTCTGTATTAATAGTTTCAATAGTCTTTCCTTGCAACCGCTTGTATAGCAGCCTATAAGAAGAAATATCTTGCAATATAGCAAACAAATGTACAAAACATATGTGAACAAGTGCATGAACAAGTGTGTGCCAGTGTCTGTGCGTGTGTATGAAGAATACTAAGAATGGATTTGCTCCTTTTTCTATGAAGGTAGAGGGAATTAATGGAGGTTCAGGGCAATGTATTCATCAACTGGCTAGTTTAAAACAGAAAAATGAGTACTTGGCTAGCATTCTTTGTGCTTAGCTTTCTACAGGCTGAAAACCCATAGTTGTACAGACAACAATGTATTGAATGTGCTTGAGATTACAGATAATGAGAACAATGTGGAGAAATCACAGGTTAGATTTAAAGTTTGTTGGGGATTCTTTGCAAATGGAAAGGCTGGTGGTTAGCAGAAGTCCTTATTCACAATGAATATCAGCTAGAGCCAGAAAGTACAGAGTGCTTTAATGCTTTAAAATCTAATTAGATGGCCGACTGATTTCTAAGTAAGTTTGACTGTTTCACAGCTGCCAGATTGACTTAATGAGAATCTACTAGTGCGTGTTCTGGGTGAACGTAAAGAAAGTCCAATAAGTCAGATCCAGCAGTGAATAATTTTAATGCTATTTAGTGCTTCCCAAAGTGAATCTGAAGTACCAACAAAACAGCAGGCCAGAAAGAAACACGTTGTAAATTGGAATCAAATGGTTCCCATTTCAGTAGATGGGGGCTTGAAGTTGTAACCAAGGAATTTCATGACATAGGGCCTGGTTATTTAAAGGACTGTGTGTCTTCTCTGGTTTTTGTCTGGCCTGTACAATTGGGCAGACTGAGCATGCTCCAGGTTCCATCCATTAAGCAGTTCCACTGATGGGACCTAGGGGGCATGACTCCTCTGTTGCAACACCTGCCCTCTGGAACCCCATCCCTGATACATTTGGCCCCACTCAAGCCATGTTTAAAAGAGCCTTAAAAATCTGGCTCTTTCCCCAGGTCTTGGGTTAGAGCATGGGTGGGGGTCCTGTAAGTTAGAATGTTATTTAATGGCCATCTTTATTCTGGCACTTGGGTTTTTAATATATATATTTTTTTATATCTATAATATTATATAATAAAAATATATATATATATTTACTGTTTTACTGTAAGCTGCTCAGAGTTGTTGCAGAGTTGGGTGGCCTTACACATTTCTAAGTAAATACAACATGAAAGCAAACCCAGGCTGGGTTCTGTAGCATCACTGTGATCTTAGGTTTTCCACTTTTCCTTACTCATGAGCAGGTGGTGTTGTGTGAACATATATCAAATCACACCCCCAGCATCAAAGATCTGAGATGCAAATGGTCCATTCTGGAAAGGGATTTACTAGGAAAATAAAAATATTTCTAAGAGGTACTCCTAGGTTTATGCCAGTGTTCTTAAAGTCAAGAGCTGCTATAGTATTTAAAGTGACAAGATAAAGAATGGAAGTTAGTTCTAAATGTCTCTTTTCTGAGTGACAGAACAGCAACTGCAACTTTTTCTATGCATATTAAAAGAGTGCATGCTGTCATCTCAGTCGTAAGCAAAGTCATTCAGAGCAAACTTCATTAGTTTAGGCAGTTCTTGAGGACATGGGACGGGGACTTTATATTCACAATGCAAGGTGAAGGCAGTTTTTGCACACTGGCCCTCTTCAGATTAGTTGACATCGCAACTCCCACAATTCCCAGCCTATGAATTTGAAGAGTTCCAGAACCCATTATTTAAAAAATCATTCTTGACAATGCATTTTTCTCTCTGGGGAGTGTAATCTTTCACTTACATTTAATCACTAATGAAACACACCACAACCACTTTTCTTCCATTTGCATTTTACAGATCTTGATCAAGTGCTGCTTTTATGCTGACCTTTCATGAACATTTGCAAGGTGGTTTACAAAAATAGCTTAATCCTCCCTCCCTCAACCCTCTGAAGAATGCCATGAAAGGCTACAAGTTGGCTTCAGGTATGTACTGTGTATCACAGAATTTCTTTTTCTCTTAAACCATAAAGCTGACCTTCAAGAAGCAAGTTACGGCTAACCAAAATGATGCATTAAGTAAGAATACATTTCTCAGAATAAACTAAGAATGGTAACATAGCCAGTTTTTTTTACTTCTGTAGAATTACTCAGGTTAAACATTCTCCAAAATAATGGAAGGTGGGAGCTGGTAAGAAAAATGGTGAGTGGAGGTAGATTCCTCAATTTTGTGGAGAAACTGTTAGGTGCAAAACAAATTTCACATTGTACAAAAGGCTGCTGGGGGACAGAACGAGTTTGCAACCCTAGTCTTAATCTGTAGCTGTATGAAACAACAACAACAATAACAAAAAACAGTAATTACCTGCATAGATAACAATTCCTATGGCGACCTCGGTGTTCCTTACTATGCACCCACGAAGAAGAAGGTTTTCATTGTCAAGTCCAATTCGTGTGCAATCAGGCTGTTCCCTGCAAGGAAGAAAGGTGCTTTTTTCCCCTTTATCTTTTTTCCCCCTTGTTCTCTCACTACGAGATAATATATTTCTAAGGTCATGGTCATGGGGTGGTTATGTTTTGAGGCTCACTGACACTAAAGTACTGCGGGGCATTGCTACCATGCTGCGGCCTCAAATCAGTGTTAAAAGGCTGAGAATTTACATTACAGAAAAGATGATGGTGGGATTCTCTGATGTCCTCTGCCCTAGGTTCATATAGTCACCATATGATGCTTTCACACAACACATTCTTTTAATTTCACACAATACATTCTTTTAATGTAAGTGTTCAAAGGAGGCTCTTGCTGTTCAGTACATTGGCTCTATTTGCCAGCAACATTGAAGAATATGGCGAAATGTGAGTCCTTGCCATCACAGATAAATTGGTGTACATGGCGATATGCTTGCAGGTACCTGACTGGACTCTTCATACTTAATGCTCAAAAGCTATTTTAATGCAAGCATCTGTCTTTTGTCTGACAAAAGCTTCCAAATGCTTCAGTGTTTTCTATAACCCATCTTTCAAGCTTGGTTTTGGAAGATTCTGAATAGAATGTTTATCACAAATTTTCCTTTCTTGTGGGGGAATCTAGGGCAAGAGAGAAATTATATATTTCTACAGATGCATGGAACTAAAAGACTTTGGAGGGCCACACAGAACATTGCCACATTTGTGATAAATACCACCTGCTGAAACCAGCAGAGCCCTGACACTCAGAAAAATTGACTTTACTAAAAATTGTATGGGTTTACTAGCAAGCTGATATTCAGGATTGGAGCAAATAAGGTTTTAACAGCAAGAAGGAATAACTTTTTTGTTATTATTTTTGCTGTCTCCTCCTTACCGAGGAGAGGGAGAATGGTTTAACGATGCCACACGAGTGGCTTGGTCTGATTTTTCAGTGGTAATCCTTTCCTTTCCTTTCCTTTCCTTTCCTTTCCTTTCCTTTCCTTTCCTTTCCTTTCCTTTCCTTTCCTTTCCT